CAAGGGATCAGAAACTGGTTTAAACCTGTAACAGAACAGAAGTTCAGTGCACAGAAGTCAGTTTCAAAATGGCTGAAACTGGTTTAGGATAAACCTGTGTTGAATGTAGTACCAGACTTAAATGATTTGGGTCCAACTGGTTTATAAAACTTCTGCCCCAAACTCCTTCTGCGTTCAAGTTGAATCACAGTCCCCCAGCAGTCCCAGCATGCTTTGTAGCCCTGAGCTGGGCTGTGCTGTCTGCTCCAGAAAGTAGGGTTGGCCTTGTTCCTCTGCTCTCTTAGCTGGACCAGCGAGGGCTGGCTCACAAGGGAGTGGGGGGAGGCAAGCACAGCTGGGGATGCAGCCCATTCTGCTGTGGGGAGTGGGAATGACTGCTCCCCCCTACCCCCCAGGCAAACCTCAGCTGGGGTCTGGGGCCACCGAGTGGGGTTAAACACCCTTCCCCTGCTCAAACTTACTGCTGGCTGCAGTTGGGGACTACAAATCCCAGGGCACCGGGAAGCAGGAAGAGGAAGTGCTGAGCAACCCTGCAGAATCCTGCTGCTGTAATTCTGGATTGCAAATCCCAGAGACCTGGGGGCAGCAGGAAGAGGAAGTGAACACATAGCCAGAGAGCTGTGCTCTAGCACCCCCTGGCTTCTGGCCCAAGCCACTGCAGGGATGTAGCTGCATTTCCAGAATCAAAAGGTAAATGTCAGTTCACTTCCGTTTCAATTTAATCTGTGCAGTTTAGACTAACCTGCAAAGACTGAGTCAATTCAGCCTCAGGCTTTTTGACTGTCTGTACCTAGCCCTAAGGAACAGCCATGCCTCTAGTGTCCTATTTGGAAACCTACAGCCAGATCCTAACAAATGTACACCTGTTACAGAAGGCATTGCCATGATAACAAAAAAACCCTTGGCCAACGGGAGGATATTTTATAACGTGCACCACCAGTTCCCTCTCTAAAAAGGAATAGTGTCACTTGAGATTATTGTGGGGCAGAAATTGCAGCAATTTCCTGTAACTGGAATCAAGCGCCCAACTTTCTGAGCTTGCAGCAGGGCCTGCCATTAATTCAGACACTTGTGTGGGAACTGGGATTCCATTAAAGGGGCCAATTTCAAGTCCATTTCCCTGATAAACAGACAGCAACTAGCTCCTAAATGGGGCTTGATAGATTTGATTAGGGCAGAGTTTTCACAGGTTGTGATTTTGGCAAGGAAAATTGCTGTTTGATGTGCGAGCAAAAATTGCACTTGAAATCCTCTTGTGATGGAGTGGGGGTGGGGAAGGTGACGGAGCACCGAGGCACCTAGCCAATTATCTTCATCTCCGCAGCACGGCGATCAGGCTCGGAGAAGTTGGTTTGCAGGGGATACTGCCAAGCAGTGACACATTAGGGGAACTAGAGAGATTAGCCGCTGTAAAAACACAGCGTTATTTAAACAAGATGTAACAAAGACCAGCGAGCTCCTCTTGTTCCAGGGAGAGATGCACAGGGTTGCTCTGCTTTATGTGCTCCCGCTCCGTCCCAGCTCCACTGACCCCCTCTCTCTGACTTGGCTTGAGGTTTCCCGGTGCCAAATTTTTGCTGGTACCTGAACATCTCTAAGGAGTTCCCTTTCAGTCAGATTTATTTCTCCAGTACAGTATCAACCCAACTGCTGGAGAAGCTAGCTTTGGGGGCCTCTACTCCATACCATACTTCTTGTGCAAGTCAAGGAGACTGAACTTGGTCTCCCTCAGGTGAGAAGTACAGAAGCATCATGGTGGCATACGTGCAGTGTGGCTCTTGTCTGCCGGCTGCTTCACTAGAGGCGAGAGTCTACTACCTCAGCCAGCTCATGGATTTATTCCTATAGCTGACATGGTGGAGACTGTAGACACAGTAGAGAGTCTGTGGCACAGGCAAGGAGAGTATCCAGTTTGCTAAGGCAGTATTCAACTGCTTCTAGCACAAGGGTCCTCCCTTTTCTTGCAACTCGCCCATCACATCCCTCCTTTCCCAAATGTGCATGGCTATCTAATAACACCAAGCACAGCACGGGCAGACCGTCCATGCCATCTCAGATGGGAGTGATCCACGCAGCACTGGGCAGGAGTCCTTCCCACTGCTGTACAGCCTCCGCTGAAATAAGACAAGTGACCAGCAGTAAGCAGAGAGAGGTAGTTAGCCGTGTTAGCATCACATCCTTTGTGTGCACATGCATTTAGACAAAACAGCTTTCTGTGCTCCTTGTTCCAGACCAAGCTGCCTCCATGATGCTCTATCCCCCCAGAGAAATGACTTTAATCCCCTCAGAGATGGATAGCAGGATCAGCACTCCCACAGCAGAGAATGAATATTCATTGCGGTGCTAACTCCCCTATCAAGACTTCCAGGCAAGCTGCATTAAGACTCGATCCCTAGAGATTTTTCTTTTTAAAGCATATATTTTTGGTTCTCTTTCCCCCCTCAGGAAGTGGAGCCTTGACTTTTAGAAGCAATCATTTATTTGAGGAAGGCTAATTGTTCTCCCAGGAAAATACTGGGAGATGCCAAGCCAAGCAGAGATGCTATTCTGAATCAATAGCCTCTGGAAACACTCTTCTGCCTTCCACTCACCCTCTGCCCAGAAGCACAAAGTCACGTATCTGGATCATCAGGCACTTCGGCACATGCTTAACTTATATGTGCAAATAGCGCCTTCGATTGCAGTGGGACTACGGCAGGTTGAAAGACAGATGCGTGTGCAAAAGGCTGACCGTGCTGGCTCTGAGTAGAGAAGTACTGATCAGCGCATCTCCTTTCCTTATTAAGTCATGTTACTGAACTTTATTCTGTGCGGTAGCTCCTCTCAGAAGCGCCCAATGTAAAGGTAGCTCAGTAGTCCAAATAATAACTGGACAGCTTTGAAGGATTAAAAGAATGAAAAGGATGGTATGGAAAGCCAGGTCCATGCACCAGTCACAGCTCCTGGCTACTTATCATCATCATCATGTACTTTTCATCCAGACAAACTGTTTACAAAGGGGGTCAGGTTCATGGTCTCCCCTTTTTATAAAGGGGGGGTGGGGGGAAAAGTGGCAAAGAAGGGCAAAGTCGCTTCTTCAACTTTGTCCAGTAGGCCAGTGTAGAGCTGTGACCAGAACCCAGATCTCCCAAGCCGCAGTCCTCCAGCAGCAACGACCTGGCCAGACCATCTGCAGGAATGGATCCAGAGACATCTGGACCCAAAGAGAATGGACTCCTATGGCCACAGCAGCAGCACAGAGTCCCTTTGCTTATGACTGGATAGAGCACAGTCCAGAGCCCTGAACACGTGCCCTTGTGCCTCTATTTCCCCATTTAAAAAATAAATAAATAAAAAGATGAAATAAAAGAGATTGTGATACTTAACTGTCACTGAAAACCAGGCATCTGATGTGCCATGGCACTGCTAAAGATATTTTTTCCTTTGAAAAATGCAGAAAGAGGCCTGTTTTTCCCCTCCCCAAATTGAACACTATTAAATTCCTGAGGAGTTGTGACAGGTGCTATACCAGCAGCATTCATTATCAGTTTTGCTCTGTTTAATGCTCTTCACTCACATGTTCCTCCCCAGGGCCTGGTTTACTCCTCAGAAATCTCTCAGAATTTGACGCATGTTAACCTGGTAATTGGGATCATGACATCCCCAAGGAAGACTTCACGTTCCCTGCTGCCAGACCCCTCAATGTGTCACTCAGCCTTGCCCTCCATGGGTATCCCATGGCCTACACCCACTCCATGCACCACCTTCTCCCCAAATCTGTGGGGATGCTGAACCCCCCCCCCCCCCCCCCCCCCCCATGTTATAGTGACAGCCAGCTCAGTGCATCCATTTTATTAAATCTGACAGTGTGGTACCAAGCTGGTATTTAATTAGATGCTTCCCACCACACTACATGACACCTCTGAATATCTGGAGAGCTTCTTTTTCCCCCAGAAGCATTTAATGACAGAGGACCAGAGGATGGACCTCTCGCACTCATTTTCCTTACCAGCCTTGGTCCCATTCCTTCAAAGAGTTAGCTGTCTAACTAACTTTGTGTCAGGGAGCTTCTCGCATGCATGAGCTTTTGCAAGATGAACATTTTTGCCAATTAAAGCTGCTTTTGTGTATAGCCAGAATCACCTGCAAAGATCCTCTCAGTTATTCAAAGTAATGCCAACAAAACTTCTTTGCAAATTGTGCTGAGGTCATCACTTGCCATTCAAGCTGTGACTGGTGGAAAAAGTTAAAAAAATAAATAAATAAATAAATAAATAAATAAATAAAAATTCACATGCACTTGTTTCTGTTCCCCGACTGAACAGGAGCATAACAATCCTAAGCACGGCTCTTGGTGGGGTGGACAGAGCATGGAACGCACCTCCCGAGGGCTTTTGGACATGCAGGTGAAGAGAACGATCGTGTCTTCAACCATTTACACTGTAAAGTTACGTGTAGGCTCAAACAGCCTTCTGTTTAAAACTGCGTATATGAAGCGCTCGCTTCTTCAGCCCAGCACTATCCAACTAGCCAGCAGATTTGCAACACAGCCCAACTCCCCTAGCTTGCACTGGAGTCTCAGCAGCGCTAGAGCAGAGCCAGGATTGCATTTGTGAGCAGCAAACATAACTGATGAGGGCCTCTATCTCCTCTGCCTTGCACTTGCATTTTTCATTTCAGTGCGTGTACACTGGGTGTAAAACGCCACCAGCCCTGGTTCAAAGCCTGAGTTAAACGAGCATCTGAAGAGTCAGGCTCTTGGGAGTATTTTTGCTGTTTAAAGTGTACAAGGCAGACAGCCTTAGAAATCAATGCACTCTATTTATCAGAAGAGGCTGGGAAGCAGCACTTGCTGCCCAGCCCTGCAACCCCTATTCTCCCCCAAGGGAGGATCGGTCCTGACCGGCCTTCCTG